GTGCTAACTTTGGAAGTGTTAAACAGAAATATTGCAGATGAAAAGAATATAAAAGGAATGAAAATAAAAAAGGAAGAATTTAAGCTGCAAGCATTTGCGGATGATCTGATTTTCATTTTAGAAGACTCTTTAGAAACAGCATCAAAATTGATAGAAAAGATAGAGACATATGGAAAGGTGGCTGGTTTGAAAATAAAGATAAGACAAAGATTTTGACAAAGAATATGCTGTTAAGACAAAAGGAAGAACTGCCAGACTTATTGAAAATTGAGGTCACGAATAAGATCAAGTACTTGGGGATATATTTGACAGCAAGATGTAGTACATTAAAAGAGAATAATTATATGAAACAGCAGATAGCGCTAGATTTGGCAAAATGGGAAAACTTACAACTGTCACTAATAGGGAGAATTTCAACAATCAAGATGAATATATTACCCAGAATTTTATATTTGTTTCAAACAATTCCAGTTGGGCTTGGAAAAGACTACTTAGAAGATTTAAATAAAGCTGTGTTGAAATATATATGGCAAGGTAAGAAAGCGAGAATAAAGTTAAAACTTTTGCAAGATGCTAGAATTAGAGGAGGATTTGGTTTGCCTAATTGGGAGTTGTACTACCAAGCTACAAATCTGATGTGGGTTAAGGAATGGATAACACTAAGAAATACTAGATTGTTGACATTAGAAGGACATGATTTGTTGTTGGGGTGGCATGCTTTTTTATGGTACAAAGGAACTAAAACACAGGGATATTTTAGAAGACATTATATATGGGAGTCTCTGTGGTTAAACTGGGAGAAGATTAAAAGACAATGTTATTTGAAAATTCCAGTCTGACTATCGACTATTGAAGCATTTTCTTATAATATACAAAAAGGAACAAACAGTTAGATATGGTGAAATATTGAATGAAAAGGGTGAACTTAAATCTATGCAAAAACTAGAGGAACAAGGTATAAAGATGAATTGGTTTTCATATGCGCAAATACACTCAAGGTATGATAAAGATTCTAAAACAGAAGGTTTCTATGATAAACTGACTGACTTAGATAAGATTTTGACAAGTACTGATGAAAAGGTGATTTAAAAATTGTATGGATATCTATTAGAAATTAAACTAGAAGAACAAGTTAAAGAAACTATGATTGCTTGGGGGAAGAATTTTGGATATGGGATTGATTTAGAGAAATGGCAAAAATTGTGGTCTCAAAATTATAAAATGACAATGTCAATAGCATATAAAGAAAATTTGTATAAGATGTTTTACAGGTGGCATTTTCCCCCACAAGAATAGCAAGAATGTTCAAGAATAAATCCGAAAAATGTTGGAAATGTCATCAGACACCTGGCTCATATTACCATATGTGGTGGACTTGTGCGGATGCTAAAAAATACTGGACTAAAATCCACATGTGGTTGGAAAAAATGACAAAAAAACATATAGACTTGAAACCAGAGATATTTTTATTGGGAATTTTACCTGAAATATATAGTAAAGACTTGAAATACCTGATTGTAAATGTATTAACAGAGGCTAGGATTGTATTTGCTAAAAACTGGAAAAATGAGAAAATACCATACAGGAGGAAATCATTTAGAAAATATTGGAATGGGCTGAAATGAGTAGATTTGAGTAGACATTTGAAATTAGAGAACAAGAGGATAAACAATTTTATAAAATTTGGGATCTTTTCTATCAATGGTTAGACAATAAAGTACAGTAATGAATTATGTAGACTTTTAGAAAATAATAAATATACAAAGATGTACTTCTTTCTTATTATATCTACAAAATGATTTTAGGATAGATTTGGGATGGTAATATGAGCTGTTATAAGATCTAAGTAAATTATGGTTATCTTGTAAAATATGAATGAATAAAAGTAGTCAAATGGTTGATTAATAATGATACTAAGGTATTTAATTTTTGATTGACAATATGAGATTATATGTAATGTAATTGTAATTGAAGACTACGAAATGGAAGCACAAAACAATTTGTAAACCAACCGGCACACTGTATGTACACCTATGGAAGATAGCTTGATGTTTTTATGTTTTGTTTGTTTATGTTTGTTTTTAAAAACCAATAAAATTTGGAAAAAAAGAAAGATCTGAGTTACATGTCCCATAATCCAATATCATAACCATGTTGGCAACGTGCTTTATTAGTGCTAAAGTCCAGCTGCAAATGTTTTAAAACAGTAGTCTGTGGTGAATATGTTTGAAAGTATGAATGTATATGAGAGGGGAGGAGAAGAATTACTCTTTTCCTTTTATTATAGTTAATTGGTGTCAGCCATTTTGTAAGTATTTTTATACAAAATCAGCTTTTCTCATACAGCTGGATAAACCATTCCATTCATAAACCATGCTTTATGAATCACTCCTCAGAACCTCCTTTTTAAAATGACAAGATAGCCTTAAATACTGAGGAATTGGTATCGTTTTTTCACACTTCCTTCAGTCTAAGCATGCTGCTTCTTTGAACAGTATAGCTTCAATGTCCTTCTGACCACAGTGTTCAAAGGGGTGTTAACAAACAATTCTTAAGAGTGGCAGTCATGTATTATACTGGTTGCTTATTTGAGATCTTCACATTGAGCAGGGTTTTCCAATTGCAGTGCAGCAAATAAGCATGGCTGGAGGATAATTTCCTTCCTTCTGCTCTTTGAAAACTGAATCAGTGATTTGAGATACATCCAGAACAAATAAGCAAACACTATTACTATCAAATTACAAATATTCAGCTGTTCCCTTGATGTCAGAATAAAATTAATGTTGATGTTAGTCTAATCTCCCATAGAAGAATATTCCATAGTTTTAGTACCACACTTGAAACACCCGTTTCTCACTTTATGCAAACTTGTGGTGGACACTTGGTGGGATCCAGGAGAAGAACCTTTTCTGCCTTGACCTCCACCCTTTGGGACATGGGACATCTTGCCACCAGAGGTGAGATTTTCCCACTCTCGTCTGACCTTCGATAAAAGCCTTAAAACCTGGCTATGCCAGTTGGCATAGAACCTTGAAGGAGTAGCTCCAGGCTGGAGGAGGTTGGTGCAGTAACAGCGAAGATGCCACTGCTGTTCCGCTCCAAACCCATGATTGTTTTAAATTGCTCTTAATCCTCTGCAATTTTAATTCATTTTTATATTTAGAATTATTTTTATGTCTGTGTTTTTTAAACATTGTAAACTGCCAGAGTTCTCTCAAACAATGAGATAGGTGGCATACAAATTTAATAAATAATAAATAAATAAAACAGTGTTCCCTCCAGCTGCCATTATCTTCCTGAAAGTCAACCAATGCATATGGTAAATTTTAGTCATCTTAAGAGAGGGTTTATTTATTTATTTATTTATAAAGTTTATAAGACTGTCTAACTCAAATAGCATGGTTCTGGGTAGTATACTGCATAAATAACAATAAATCAAAAAATAAGAAAAAACCCATAGAACAATAAATGGACAATATATAAATGTAAAATGGTGATGAATCACAACAAAACAACTATGGTGGGACTCACATCCTTAGTAGACCTGGGGGCAAAGGCAAGTCTTAATAGGCTTCCTAGAGGCAAGAAAAGTTGGGAATTGCATATTGGGTGGGGGTGGAAGCAGGTATAAAGACATAAAAGATATGCTTCCTAGGTTGCATAAGATAATGGCAAGATTTAAAAGAAGGGTCCTGGAGCACACAAACTATTGTGGCCATTTTCTCCATAATTGGGAATTACTGGGTTTGGTGAACTCAACCAAAATTGATCAAAAGTAGCATTGGTTAAGATGACTTAGGGAGGATGCATAGGTGACATACTGCTTTTCAAAGAGGAATTCAACCATCTGGGTTATGACATTTATTTGAGCAGAGCCTCAAAGCAGACACATGGTTTCTGTCTTCTGTATTTGGCTTGTTTATAAAAATACTATTTAGTAATTCAGTGCAAAATTATAAGACAGTCTGATGTTATTTATACACATTTAGGAATGAAACCAATCAGAAAAATTAAGTGATCATTATGTAAAGTTGATGTAGGAATATAAGAAACTATGTCCAGGAAGGTGAGGAGACTAACTGTTGTACTACATTTACTATAGTTTGGTATGGGAAAGCTTTATAGAAAGACATACTTCATTTACTTCAATCATTCTAGAGAACTAAACACATATGAAAGGATGTCAAGCTGTTCCCTAGCTGGATGGTAAACATATACTACTAGGGAAGTTCAGTTTAGCTTATGACCAAAGTACAAGTAACGCACAAACAAGGTACAAGACAGGGTTAAAATACATTAACATAATGACCACTAGCATCTAATAAATGAAATCCAAGATTTGTAAACGTTAAAATATTAAATATAATGTCTAAGATTGCAGCAAGATAATGAGCAAATAAAATTGAAGATAGGGTTAAAATGCATTTTTAGAATGGGCTAACTAGCATCTAATTAATAAATAAAATCCAGGCTACGGCCTTTATTAGATCATAATATAAACACTAAAATTACATTAAATATAAAGCATCTGAAATTTGGGGTATGTACTATAGCAGGAGTCCCTAACCTGGGCCCTGGAGCGGTACTGATCTGTGGCCTATTAGGAATTGGGCTGCACAGCTGGAGGTGAGTGGTGAATGAGCAAAACTGGATGTGCGGGATTTAGGTTGTGCTCTCCCCCTCCCCCTCCCTAGTGCCAAAAATGTTGGCAATTGCTGCACGACAGGATCCATCAGGGTTCAATGGATCCTTTGCTTCAGGGCTTGTTTTGCTTGTTTTATTCTATCTTTTGGACTGTGGAGGGAGAGTATTCTTACTTGAAAAGGTTGAATTCAACAACCTTGATCCATGCATGTACCATAGATTGAAAGTTGTCCTAAAAAATTAATGATGCTAAGCCTCTAGGAAAAAAGTTGGTTTAGCCAAAAGTTTATAGAAGCTTGACACTTTTATCATACCTGCCTCATTTCATTTTCATTTATCTTTTCTTATTTGTTTAGACAATAAAAGAATTCTAATGGGTGCACTATTCTGAAATTCGGTTTTGCTGGATGCCATTATGGGTGAGTTCCTGAGGTTACTAAGGTTTCAAACATATGCCTGGGAATTTAATAATCAAATACTGAATTTAAATAGTAAATGATGAGTAATATTAAAACTCTATTGGAGTTCTTTTAAATCACATAAATATATGAATAGAATAAAATACAATTGTTGCTGAAATAAAATATAAATGAAAGAAGGAACACCACCAGAATTAGTATCTGTTGAGTTCCGTATTATGAACGTTCTTAAAGTTACAATGCAAGCTATCCTTAGATTCTACTTATGCTTCTTAATTGATTAGTTTTTTACGATTTTTAAAAACTCAGTTTGACAGTACATTTCCTTGTTTCATTTTTATTTAAATAGATGAACAGCAAGCTTTGAATTCAATCATGCAGGATTTGGCAGTTCTTCATAAGGCAAGTCGTCCTGCTTTGCCGCTTCAAGAAATGGGAAAGGGAAAGTTAACTTCACCCAAAAAGCAGGTAATAATATAATGTGTTTGCCTAGCACAGTGAAGAATTTTTGCCTATAATTTTTATATGATTTGTAGTATGTATATTTTAAAAATTGAAATGAAATGGTTTTAAAATTATATAACAGACTTTAAACATATGTGTTGTATATACGAGTTTATTTTCTGTGTGTTCTTTCTAATCATTATAACTAATAATGCTTCAAAAGACTGGAGAAAATTCATATACAATCTTTGCCTCCAGATACATATTTTTATAAGCTTCTGGAAAAAACACCTTTATCAATGCCACTGAACACAATAAATAAGTTTATATAATTCTCTTACAGAATGATGTACGAGTCAAATTTGAACATCGAGGAGAAAAAAGGTAAATGAATTCATTTTAGAAATTTTTTGTTATTTTCTGAATACGATAACTTTTTAAAATTTTTCACTGTTTCATAAGTTTATAGAATCTTAACTTAATTTAAAACTACTTCAAGATTGACTCAGAGAAGGCTGTAAAACACTGTGAAGTGGTATATAAGTCTAAATGCTATTGCTATTGCCTACCTAATCAGTCTTTGAAAACTATAACCATAATTCATTTTTTAAAAAGTCCTGTACAGGTTATGGATGCAGTTGCTTCAGGAACTTCCATCACTTAAACAGTGAAGTCATAGATGCAATGTTACATAACTACTCTGTTTAGCAATGACAATTCCAGCAGCCCCAGTAATTGTACTAACCCCAAGACTGTGGGTCATTAAGTGGGAAGAGTTGGGAGTCCTAGGCAAGCAGGCTAGCAGGCAGAATGGGCAGAGCCTCTGAAGTGCAGGCAGGTGGGCAGGTGCGAGGGAGGACAGGAAATGACATAAGCAGGTACTCTAGAGTGCAGATTAACATGCTGCAAATAGGTGCTATGGAGCACAGGCAAATGATGGGGAAGGGTGTTGCAGGTGAGTGTCAGTGGGTGGCAGGGATATATTGTAGGCAGGTACTATAGAACTCAGGCAGGTAAAAAAGCGGCAAGTGTGACTTTCGACATTATTCAGGCTCCCCATTAGCTTTGCTTCAGGAAAGCTGGTAGGGAGTGTTGGAAATCATGATTATGTGACCGTGAGGATGCTGCAATGACTGGAATTCTGAAGACCTGTCGTAAAGTCCCCTTGTTCAGCACTTTTGTAATTTGGAACAGTCACTGAACAAGTGTCATAACCCAATGACCACCTATAAATGTATGAGGATTTTTGTTTTATTTTGAATTTCTGCTTAAAGAATAGATGAAATAGTATTGCAATTCTTGAGTTTTTATTTCAGTCCAAGATAGCTAGATAGCTAGACAGACAGATAGTGTTTTCTAGGATGGTTACATAAGATGTTAACTACAAATATAACAACAGAAATGTGGTAAGATTCAGGTTATTTTGGCAAACCAGTGCTAAAATACAGGTGTATTATATTCCATATGAAATTGTAAATCACATAGTACAAATTATTTTTAACATAGAAATTAATTCCGAGAATGCTTGAGTTAAAATGTTGCAAATTAGTTTAATTAAAAGTATAGTTTTAACTCAGTTTATCCTATTATACTTGTAATACTGGGAAATCTGTATAAGCCTAGCAAAATAATCTTTTCACTGTCCATTAGCTCTTTAGTCTCCTTCTATAGTGTAAAGAAATAAGGTATAATTTGGTAATTGCACTGTGCAATATTTTGAGATAATGTTATATCCACCAGTAGTCATTGACTTGGAATAATTGAAGTTGAAATTTCTCTCTTTGGAAGGAAAGGGATAAGCCTATATTTGGTCCTTTGTAGAGGCAAAGAAAGGAACAAGAGCTCGATCCTCCATTACAATAAAATTCAACTCCTGTATTTAATTGTTGGGAAAAGTGGTTTGCCTTTTCTTTATTTCAAGATGGCACTGGAAATAAGTTGGACTTTCATAATTATAATTTGTAATTGATTTCATTTCTGTAGATTATTTATAATAAAGTTGTATCCTACTTTATAGAATCCTACAGTTTTCTAGACCTATCAAGCTAGAAGATCTTGCATCAAAAGCTAAAGTTGCCTTTGGACAGTCCATGAATTTGTATTACAGCAATAATGAGGTAAAATAATGATTTTTAGACTGTTCTTTGTAATGTTGATATAGTGAAAACTTGGTGACAAGACTACTTGAAGCTCTAGGACATATTTAGAGGTTTGCAGTGTGTTACGCTCCATGTTGGGCCATTCATACTGTGGCTTTTTGCTTTCAAAAAAATATTTTTTTTATCAAATAATGTGTTGATGTAATAATTTTTTTCAGTGTGTTTTGGAAAACAGGAAAACAAAACACACATATTTAGTATTATGTCTATTTTTAAAGAAGTGTAATACAACTTCTTTGGAAGGTATGATTGGGAAATAAAATGTATGTTATTAAATATAAAATTTATGAATTGGTTAGAGTTTGCAGAATATGATCACTGTATAACCCAGAAGCAACAACCTTGTCTATAATAAGACATTAAAAATTGAGATATCTTTCAGTAACACTATATCATTACTAAATAAACAATTAAGAGGAAGATTGAACAACAGTAACAAGCAGTTCATCTTACCTTTCTGACTGTATCTAGGCAGAATGCTAGAAATGCCATACCTTTTAAAGTAATTTCTGTAAGGGTTGGCAGAAACTATTCATAATTACAGGTTTTCTGTTCTTCATACTGTTTGCCATTCTAGTTACTTGATGATGCCTTACCCTTCTCTAAATCTGTATTTTTCATTAATTCAACTAATTTAAGTTTGGCAAAGTACTATAGTTAAGACTAGCTATCAGGACCCCTAGACCTACCTTTGGCACAAAACCAGCTGAATGACTTTGGTCCAGTTATTCCTTCTTAGCCTTAGGAAAGAGGCAATGGCAAACCATTTCAAAAAAAACCTTGCCAAGAAAACTGCAAAGAACTAGTCCAGTGATGGCTAACCTTTTCAGCTTGGTGTGTCGAAAATCGGGAAAAAGTGTAGCCTTCCTCGGGTTGTGTGTCAGTTCAAGAAATATCAATAATTTGGTAATATTTGCAGCCCTAATAAAGAAAGAGTTATATTTTTAATATATTTATTATGTTTATTAGTTCAAAAAGCTAAAAGTTTTGGAGATTTTTTTTGGGAGGGTTTGGATGGTGAGAAGCAAGAACTGCAAGAGCTGCTATGGAGGCAATTAAAGCTTAGAGGAGCTAGGGAGGGGCTGAATGCTGCAGACTAGACATCCAAGCGTTTTACAGTGGGAGAGAAGAAGGGAGAGCCACAAAGACAGAAATGCAGATTTTAGTATTAATTGAACTTACAGGACAGTCACCCGATGCTGCTTATCGTGAGCACTGTGTCTGGTTGTTGTGGTGCAGTCCTCCTGCGATGTTTATGACAGACTGGGCTGGGGTGATCACACAGGGCTGGGAAACTCGTTTCCCTGATCTCAGGGCTGCAGGTGCAGGATGTGGGGATCGGAAGGCCACCTTACAGGGCTGTGAACCTCATGGATCTCCTTTCCTCCTGTAGTGTTCCTGAGGTAATGAAACTGACAAACCTCAGTTTATGGCGGTTAAAACTGGTTCTCTGCTGCAAAGATCTCGCGGCAGCGGTGACACCATGCCTCCACGCAACAAGCAGGGAGCAGGGATTGGAGCAGAGCACAGGCAGCCTCTAAATGTGCAGGTTTTCCCCACACCAACAGGCGTGTCAGTCAAAGTGCCTCAGCGTGTCACGAGTGATACGCGTGTCATAGGTTAGCATCACTGAACTAGTCCAAGTAGTTGCCAGGAATCAGTACTGAGCTTAAGGCAGAAACAGATTTTTTTAAAAATATGATAGGTTTGCCGCCTTGAGTTCTTTATAAAAATGATAAAGGCAGTATGTAAATAAATAAATAATCCATCTTTAGTTTGTGAAATAGTTAATTAAATTTCAAACTATAAAATGTTAACATATATGTTTACATTGAAGTTTGTTGTTTTTCAGGAACTCAGATAATCGGGTAAAACAAAAAAGTTCTCTTTTTTGCAGAGTTGATAAAATAGATAATAGATAATAATGATACTAAAATAATTATTAAATATTGTTTAATAGTTAAATATAGTTAAGGAACCATTATTTATTTATTTGTTTGTTTGTTTTGTATCCTGCTTTTATTTTTATAAATAACTCAAGGAGGTGAACATATCGAACACACTTTCCTTTGCCTGCCCCCCACCCCCAACAACAACAAACATTGGACCAAGAAAGAGTTACAGGCCCAAAGTCTTGCACCTGACTTTCATAGCTAAGGCAGGACTTGAATTCATGGTTTGTAGCCTGGTGCCTTAACAACTAGACCAAACTGGTTCTCTTAATATCTAGTATTTTAGTATTGTTTTTGGTATTTTTTATTTTATTTTAGTATTGTAGTATTAAAAAAAACCACCCAGCATTTGCATCGCTGTTATAGAAACTTAGAATATTTGATCAGATTGTTCAAAGTCCTTTTTCTTGCTCCTTTATGGAGAAAATAATAGTTGACATGACAACAATAGCACTTTTCATCAGTGCAATGCTGCAAATCAGATGTGGATTTATTTTTCTTTTACCTAGTTCCCTCCATGTATTAAGAGGTCTTAATTTATTATACCTCACTTAATTTCAAAAACTATAGCCATAAAGAACATATGCATCTTTAGCAAGTAGCATTTGGGATATGGGAAAATCTGGTTAATTTTTACCATGGTTACATATTTCTACTGATAACAGATCCTACTTAGCCAAATTGTCATAATTAAATATTGTTTTTATGGCTCATTTTTACCCTTTTTCTAGCATGATATCCCTTAGTTCCGCTAAATACTAATTATTGAAGATAGTTGGTGTTGCTACCAGGGGTGGGTTTCTACTGGTTCTGTCCACCTCTGTAGAACCGGTAGCTCTGAAGAGCAGCAGACATAGAACCGGTTCTATGTCTGCTGATGTTTTTGCCCACCCGCCCACCTGGGCTCTTACTTGACCTTTATTTCCTGCTTTTTCAACTTCAGCTGCGTGCGAGGCACAGCTGCAATTAAAAAAGCAGGAAAAAAGGGCTTTTTCCAAGGCTGCTTCTCTGCACGCAGTGTGCTGATGACGATTTACAGGCGGGCAGCCTCGTAAATCACCGAACTGGTAATTAACCCTGTTGGATCCCACCCCTGGTTGCTACAGTTAATTTTCAGGCCACAAAACCTAATCTGTACATACATTACTTGTATTTAACTTGCACGTTAATCTTGTGACTTTTTCCTTTGTATAGCTGGTAATTCCATTAGCTATCCAGGATGATCTGGACAAAGCTGTGGAGCTCCTTGATCGCAGTGTTCACATGAAGAGCCTCAAGATACTGCTTGTTGCTCATGGAAACACACAGGTGTGTTAAGGCTTTGTGTAAATTTGTATATTGCTATAACACTTTTCCTCTGTTGTTTGCTTGTGACCCCTAACAACCTGATCCCTCTGGAAAATTGCCATCCCCTTCCTTTCTGGAGGAGTATTTGGGTTCTAGTTCCAGAAAGCCACAGAGCTCTTGTTTTCATTAACAGAATTATTTTTGATCAAATCTATAAAAAAGTAATTATTCTTTGGATAATGTCTGCATAAATTGTCATTCCTTGTCTTGAAGCCCCTTAAGTTTGGTTATTCTCATGTGCATATTATCTGTGTTTGCAACTCACAAAATCCAAGTGTTTGTGTGGGTATATGTCGTATAATAAAATTTGATAATGATACACTACATATTGCATGTAATAAACTATGTTCTGCATATTCATAAAGTATTCATGAAATATAAATTGCAGTCACAAAACTCATTATATAATATCATGCTTTTACCTTAAAAGTTAAAAATGTTATTTTTTTTATAGTTGCATCATTAGAACAGGAGAGAGAGATTATAGCCAAAGCCAAAACAGTTTAAAAGATGATGAAAAAATTATATATCAACTATATCTTTATTGTCAACTGCTATCCTTAGTGAGATGTGTGCAGAAATATTCCCAAGTGTGCCATAAACTTTGTTTTCCTGTTTCTAAATCATCTCACTTAATACATTTAACCTTTCGTTCTTGTTGTCATTATAATCTTAACATTTAGAATCTGTGCACTTAGGAAATAATAGCATATTATAATATCTTATTTGAAACAGGGGCAAAAATTTAGGGAAAAGTCCTGTGTCATCAAACTGGAATTTTGTGCCATGCAGTTTTAAATAGCTCTGTCACCTGCAATTCCATCTTCATAAAATTTGTCTAGAAGTCCTCAATCCCTCAGACCCAAATTTGAGGACTATGGAAGGGAGAATAATTAGCTCTACCCATTATCATATGTGGAAGTGGAAATAAACATTAGATGTCAACTACATTTATAACAAAATGTTGCTTCCTTTTTTTACAAGGGTAGAGATTTTTTAAGAGCATAAATAAACATATTTTTCCTTCTAGAATAACATGGATCCCTTGTCATCGTTAGAAGATTTGGATAATACAGTTTTCAGAGTAACAGAAAAGAAAAACAGGAATTCTGTAATAGGTAATAACACTTCATATTTTTTATTTTAAACTGGTGGTTTATTTATTTATTTATGAAACATTTACCCTTCTTTTGGTGCTGCCACAGTAATTTGCAAAAGGCAAGCAATACAAATATTCTTGCACACAAAGACCAGTGATTAATGTGCAGTATGAATCTGGAATAATTGAAAAGTCATAGGAACATTAAACAAGTTAAAACTAAATTCATGTAATACTATAATTTTAACAAGAACAAAGTACAACACCCAAATTTTTTGACTATGGTAATACAGATAGTCCTTGACTTACAACAGTTCATTTAGTGACCATTCAAAGTTACAGTGGCACTGAAAAAAGTTACTTACAACCATTTTTCACACTTTATGACTGTTATAGCACCCCATAGTCAAATTCAGACACTTGGCAATTGACTATCTTGGGGACATGACCTTTTGTGACCTTCTGACAAGCAAAGTCAATGGGAAAACCAGATTCACTTGACAACTATGTCAGTGGTGGGATTCATTTTTTTTTATTACCAGTTCTGTGGGTGTGGCAGGGGAAAGATACTGTAAAATCTCTAGTCAGAGGTGGTATTTGTTGGTTCTCCAAACTATTCCAAATTTCTGCTACCGGTTTTCCAGAACTGGTCAGAATCTGATGAATACCACCTCTGAATTATGTTATTAACTTAATAATTGTAGTGATTCGCTTAACAAATACGGCAAGACAGTGGAATAAGATGGAGTAAATGAAGTAAAATTCACTTAATAAATGTCTTACTTTACAACAGAAATTTTGATGTGACAAAGTCTCAGTGCCTATAGCTTTTTTAAATTAAGTTTTTTATTTCTTTCATGTCCTGCCTATAATTTTCATACTTACACATCTGAAAGCTACCAAAATTAAAGCAGGCAGATTAATCACTTTAGTAGGTTATAAACAAACTTATCATCAAGAATCATTTATTAGTTTAATTTTTAAATCAAATAATATTATTTTTTTCTGATCCTTCAGGTATTATCTATTTCAACAAATGTGAACATCAATAAAAAAAATTCCAAATAGGGTCAGGATGAAAAAAATGTGGAAATAGTGACTAATATTTTATATTTTCTGTGCAATTTATGTCACTTCGTAGACCAGTATCCCACAATTTTGTATTCTGTCAGGGAATTACATATATTCTGCATCAAAAGATTGTCTGAATTAAGGGAAAAGGTATTTTCTATAGTTGTAGGTTTATCTGGAAAAACAGTAAGTTTTGACTACTTAAAAGCAAAACAATCAAAAACCCTTCTATGTTGGAAAACAACAATATTAAATAGAAGTAAAGAATATCATTCTGAAATACTGTGTGAACAAAGGATGAAAAAACAAAAGCATTTTTTTGAAAGTGTACATTCCTCCCTGTTTGTATCGATGTATAAAATATGTCTCCCTCTGAGACTTTATATACCACAAAGAAAATTACCGAAGTACATAATGTATTTCTTTATATTCAAAATTTATCTACATTAAACTAAAGTTACCGTATTTATCGGCGTATAACACGCACAGGCGTATAACACGCATTCCCTTTAAGAGGGAAATTTCAGGAAAAAAATATGCGGCGGGCGCAGCGCTGACATCACGTCACGATGCTGCGCCGCCGCTAGGCACTATTGGGAACGGGATCCCTTAAAGAGGATTCCGCTCCCTGGACATCGGCGTATAACATGCATACATCATTTGCCCCCTATTTTCAAGGGGAAAAAGTGCGTGTTATACGCCGATAAATACGGTATTTGCGTATCAGCATGCATAATTTAAAATAATAGAAAATACCTGAAGGATCAGAAGGAAAAGAATATTATTTGATTTAAAAATTAAACTAATAAATGATTCTTAATGGTAAATTTGTTTATAATCTTTTTCCTTTTCCCCCCCAATAGGCTATACTCGTGACAGCAGTTCTCCACCTCCAGGATACATTCCAGATGATCATGTGGCACGGAATGGATCTTTCACTAGTATCAACAGTGAGGGCGAGTTCATTCCAGAAAAAGACTTAGTAAGCATTCTCTTCTACATGCATATCTAGTAGCTTGAGGATTTTTTTTGGCCCCTTTTCTCCTTAAATTTTGGATTAACATTGGACCTCTGATTCCATTTATTGCTATGGCATGAACTAACTGAAATTTTGCAGTACATTTTTGTGCTTTTCTTTCAGATGTTGGATCCATTATCACTGAGTAGCCCTGAAAATTCTGGCTCAGGGAGTTGCCCTTCACTTGATAGCCCTTTAGATGGGTGAGAATTATTTATAATTTATCTTTCTGCTATTCTTTGCAAGTCACAATGTCCTATATTCAGGAGGCTCTTAGTTATTAAGAACTTAATATTGCAATGTTTTGTGTTTCTAGAGAGAACTACCCTAAGTCCCGGATGCCCAGAGCTCAGAGCTATCCTGATAACCATCAAGAATTCTCTGGTAGATAAAAACAAATGGACATTGTTTCAAATATTATTGTTACAAATATTTATATTATAATGTTAAGTACCTATAACTTCACAATATAGCGTTTGAATTAGTCAAAGACTATGGTAGCAAACGCACACGTATATGTAATTCAGCTATATAATCAAAGAAATATCTAAAAATTAAATCAGAAAATAGCAATCATTGCTGAGATGATAAAAAGGATCTTTTTTTTTTTTTAGTAAATATATTTATAATTTCAATTTTTTCAAGGTCCTTTGGATATATGCAACTATTCATCTAACTCTGTAAACATATGATGTGTAAACATAAAATACTGACCCTATTTATTTAAGTTATTGCGACCTTCAGAATTGGAGCTGCAGTAAGAATTTTAAAACTTTCAAGCTTTCAGATGATTGACAAAGTTCTCTTCGAATCAAGATAGAATTTAATTTTAGTATACTATGAAGTTGTACTGAATTTCACAGTTGAACTGGAATTTTAATCTAGTGGAGCGAAGCATTTTAAAACCCTCAAAAGATTATAATAAACTCTAAAAGATATGGGAGAAATTTTTAAAACAGATGTTTATTATATTGTAATCTTGTTTTTAAAGGATTAAAAGATCACAAAGTGTGCTTCAGATGTAATAAATGTATGTTCCCACAGTGAAAGAGAATGAACAGAACCCATCACGTTTATCAAGAAGATAATAAAACAATATTCCTTAAACAAACTGGGATATAAATGATGAAATATGTGTATGTATATAGTGTAATATATCATGGTAGTCCCAAAGATACATTTTCAAAAGGCAACTGGAAAGAAAGTTCAGTTGCCTTTTGTAAAAAGCACCTTTGGGACAACCATGACCTGGATGACTGAGAATCTCCATACACATATAGTAGTGTAAAGTCTATAATTCATAGATGAAGAGTCACTCTTAATAGTAAAGGTATATGAATATAAAGAAAAATATTTATGGGGCATAAAATATGCATTAAAATAAGTATGTTGTTTTTAAATAGCAATATGAATATGTTCTCTGTATTCTGCCCCTAATTCAGGAATGACATAGATACAGTATATATTATGAAAAAAAGTGTAGACGTTTATGTATGCTTTTTCTGATTAGAAATTGGGAATGATACATAAATCTTTCTATTCAGTTTTGGCTAATTTATACTGCTTAATGGAATAAAATATTTTTCTTCAGATTATGACCTCCCAGTATTTGAAAAGTTTGTCAAAGGTGGAACTTATCCTCGGTATCATATTTCATACCAACATCAAGAATACAATGATGGTGAGTTGTGGGTCAGCTAACATACCTAGATTTTTCTTCAAATTTTTGGTTTGTTTTACTGTAAATTAAGAGAATCATTCTTGTGTATTAATTTTGGATTTATAAATCTTTGTTTTGTTTTGGAACTAACATTTGTCAGCAGGACCTTTTTAGGGTTGTCACATACAGGCTGCTGCTAATTTTTTTTTTAATTATCTGGGAAAACTTCCAGTTGGTTCTTCAAATTCTTAATGTCCTAAATAACACCCTCAAAATATTACTTGTTTTACCTAAATGTGCCCTTCCATTCATGGAAGAGAATGGAAAAGCTGAAGATCTAATAGGGTCCACAATAAAAGAATGTCAAAATATTTTCATTGCTTTTCTTTGCAACTTCTAGTGTAAGGCCTATGTTGTTCTGGAGAGTTTTCCAGATTGTTAGAGTAGCTTTTCAGTAGATGACAGTGAGAAAGAACAATGTTACAGTATTTATTTGCTTCCTTCTAGAGCATTTCATGAGTCAAGTTCAGTTCATGGCAGCTAATTTCAGATCTGTATGAATTCTGTCTTTTCTTAAATTCACTATTTACAATAAACTAGAGTTTCATCAAGTATGGTATTTAAAAGATCATCAAGGCTATTTACTTTTCTTAGAGCTGAACCTATTATTTACTCACCACCAATAAAAAATATACAGTATTATATTTTAAACCTTCCATGTTTAGAAAATTAAAATCTATTTTTCAAGAAAAGGTGTTTGCTCTAGATACAAAGTATCTACTTTGGTTATCATATGTATTTCTTATTATCAAAAGACCTGAGAGTAATGTGTATTTATGATTGCTTCTCAAATCTGTAATTCTGTCTAATGATCTTTACTGACAGTTCTGTCCAGAACAATGTACTGATAAGTGTGCTTCGTAATACTATGGTGTTGGAATTACCTATAATTTCTGCAGGTCGTAAAACTTTTCCAAGAGTTAGAAGGACCCAAGGAAACTGCTTACGCACTCCAGTAAGTTTCAGTCCAACTGATTATTCATTGAGCACAAGCAGTGGGAGCAGCATTTTCACTCCAGAATATGAAGATGGACGAATGCGGAGAAGAGGAAGTGATATAGAAAATCCTACCTTGACAGTAGTGGACATCAGTCCTCCCAGCCGCTGTAAGGAGAAAAATTCTATCTATTGCCTTGTAATCCCTCATCTAAACTATAATTCCGTTGTTCAAATGGCTAGGTTTTATACACAACTATGAGGAAAATAAATTATCAGAGGAATGGGAATGTATCAGAAGAATAGACTAAAAACAGAAAATCCGACATACATAAGAATGGGCCTTGAAGTGTATAGTACACAGTTAAGCTTTATCAGGAAAGTCCTATGGCTACCTACTGTACATGTTTCTTTAGTAAGAATAATATTTTCTTGAAGATAGTAGAAGGGCAGAAAATAACTAATCTATGCATTGTTAATATGTGTGCTTGCATTGTGTGTGTGTGTGTGTGTGTGTGTGTGTGTAAATTTTGGAGAAAACTTGCATTACATACTGACTAATAACACTGCAAAAACCAAAAACAGGAATTGTAAGTCTATTCAAAGGGTAAATATTTATATTTTATTTTAATATAGAATAAAATATGCTGATTTGGAAGCTTTTTTGAAAAGTGTCAGAAAAGTGTTGGTCTATTTTTCCCTTGTATACTTGGATATAACAGACTTCTCACATTTTGTTGCAGCCCCACGTGCTCCAACTAATTGGGTACTTGGTAAACCACTTGGCCAAGGTGCATTTGGTAGAGTTTATCTATGCTATGATGCAGACACAGGACGAGAACTAGCTGTAAAACAAGTTGAGTTTGATCCTGACAGCCCAGAGACGAGTAAGGTAAGAATTTGGGAAGGAAGGTTCCTCTCTCAGCCTTTCTGATACGTACACATACAACAGTTAATATAAATTGAACTTATTTTTTAGAATCACACTTTAAAAAGAAGAGCAAAATCAAAAGAAGCTGAGGAAAGTTGTTATGGAATCTGAACATTAAACAAATGTCATTGAAAGATTGATGTTATTCATATGTGGAATCTGTGACATTGTTTGCCTTTTTTTTCCATGGGTGAAATTCTCTTGACATGAGCTGGTATCTTCTTGTTTGGTAGATTTGTTTTTCTAATTTATTTTCCCATTTGTTTTCAAAATTTTAGGAGTCCTTTCAGAGCAAACTTTAAGAGTGTGCCATCCTCAATAGTCTGTTGAGGGGAGGGGAACTGTTGTTCCCATTCTAGGAGTCGAAACTATTTTAATATATATGGAAATGATTCTACTTTTAAAAAATGAAGACATGGGGTTAATGGAAGGTTTATTAAGCTGTACAATGTATATCAATTAAGTCTTTTCTCTAAAATTTTCAACTATTCAGAAATTTCCTATCAATATAAGCTAATTATTAATAATTTTCTTGGAATCTTTCACATGTCCTCAGATATAGTGGACCATTTTGTTTTTAACACACAATACTTCAAACTATGATGCTGCTGAAAGAAAAAATAAACTAGAAAATTAAATGAATGACAATTGTAAAGTGCATTTTCATTACTTTGTGATATTTGAATATGTAATTTTGGGTTCAATACTAAGAGTACAAACTACAGAGGACTTATTGAAACCCACAGTATTACCAATAATATTTAGGAATGACATAAAATTCATAGTTCATTCAGTAATTTGATCATTATTTTAGATAAGAACAGATAATTCATACAAGATTTTCTGAGAACCACAGCTATGCAATTCTTATTGCAATTTCTGGGAGCATTGCAGATTCTTTGATCCTGTTTAAAGCAGGGGTGTCAAACCCGCGGGCCAATTGCGTCACATGCTGGCCCCGCCTGGTTTAGCGAAGGGGAAAAAAGTCCCAATACATCACATGATGCTACCCTGATGACGCGAGTTTGACACCCCTGGTTTAAAGAGACTTGTGGAAGCTGTTTTCCCAGGTCATAGTTTTCAATTAAGAGTGAGAATAAATGCTTTTATATTTTTTTTCCCAAAACTGAAGTGTTAGTTTATTATGAAAATAGTAAAGCAGCTAAAATGGTTTGTAGTGATTAATAATAATGAGCTAGCAATATTCATTTTTAAATTATTCAGTTTAAATTAAAAAAACTTGAAACAAGTATTTTTGGTATGATTTAGTGCTAGAAATTTGCTCTTATTCTAATATGTTACTTTTAGGAAGTAAATGCCCTTGAATGTGAGATTCAGCTTCTGAAAAATCTGCTACATGAAAGAATTGTTCAGTATTACGGTTGCTTAAGGGACCATCCGGAAGGAACACTTTCTATATTCATGGAATATATGCCAGGGGTAAGCCACTGACTCACAGGGAGACAGTAAATTTTTGTAGTGTGTGTGTGTGCCCATATGTTAAAATCAAGTCTGCAAATGGAATGCAAATACTGTGTACCATCAATCTGAAAAGAATGCTTTTGTACTGAGTTTCTATAAATACATTCTCCTGTTTTTCATTAGCATCTACAAATCAACTTTTCTGAAACACCTGCAAAGTGTTTTTGCTATTTGAATTTTGCTCTTGACATATCTATTGTCTAACAAGATGCATATTTAATTATTGAATTTTATTCCCACATTAGTGCGAAGCACCATACTAAATATTTCTGTCTTGGTGAAAATAAGCTTGATTGATAGTAAGTTGTTAAGGACATATATGAGGCTTAAAAGAAACTAGCATGATCAAACAAAACAAATACTATTAAGTTATTAACTATTATTCTTTTTAATATTATAAACAAATTTGGTACTTGTAGCATTCAGTTATCTTTCTAGTAGGAATCAAAAGATATATGTTCCAGAAAATATCTGGATTAAATCCTATTTTATGTTCCCTAAGTTGAAGTTGCACACTTGGTGGGTTGGATTTAGAGCTATGCAAATTAAGGTGAGATGGAGAGAGATTTCTAAGATTTGTTTGCTCTAGTGGTTAAGGCTCCAAGCTAGAAAGTAAGAGACTGTGAGTTCAAGTTCCGCCTTAACCATGAAAGCTATCTGGGTGACTTTGGGCCAGTCATTTTCTCTTAGCTCAGCTCACCTCAAAGGGGTGGGGACAATAGGAAGAGAAAGATGTGTTGGATATGTTTGCTGCCTTATTTGTAAAAATAATAGGAGGGATTCAAATAAATAAAAATAACTGCATTTGCGGATTCAAACAGTGTTTTAAGTGCTGTAACTTTTATATGGTGGACTTCTAGAAAACGTCTGTTAAGACCTTTTACTATAACAAGTTTCTTTCATTGCAGGGCTCAATTAAAGATCAGTTGAAGGCATATGGTGCTCTCACAGAGAATGTGACTCGGAAGTATACTCGCCAGATCCTGGAAGGAGTTCACTATTTGCACAGTAACATGATTGTACATAGAGATATTAAAGGTACTGATGGGGGTATTGTTATAACTTTGCTTGGTGAATTGTAAATATTTCTTCCTAAATCTTGAAGAGTTGGTTTCCTTTTTTCTCCTGGTATACTACTGAAAATCGTATTTTGTTGAAGACCTTTCCTGCACTTTTCCAATATATATATATATTAGTTGGCCAGAGAACCTTTCATCATATTAGATACAACATATTAGGTAATCATTGGATGGTCTAGCTGTTCAATCTGAGAAAATTGAAATGGTGATGTTGTTAGTCCTCTACAAATTTAATAAATAATCCCCGAGAATTCCTAATCATAAATAGCAACAAAGTAGCAAACATACATAATCTCAATTAAAACATTTGCCATAAGTAGTACTTAAATGATTATTTTAATTATAAATATTAAATGCTGAAAAATCTTATGATGTAGTACATATTAGCTTTTGTTAATTTCCTTTCATTTTTATTTCTTGGATAAATACAGAGAGGACTGTTGTCAGACCTGCCCCAGCTACGTACCTAGAAAAGAAAGATCTTCGATTCCATTTGGTTTAAGTGATAGGTACTTTTACTAAGGATTACTGGTTGCAGTGAAAGCAGGCTAGAACAAAACTTCCTGTGCAATGTTACAAATTTTTCCCCTTCATGTTCCCCATTCCCATTGGCCAGACTTTCAGTGTCCAATAGCATCCCAGTGCAATGTTTTGGAAACCGATTTGCTGTCAGGCACATCTTGAAATGGCTGCACATTCTTTTCCAGGCTAGGTGTCTTTGGGCATCTGGATTAGTCCGATTTTCACATGTCTGGTGGTTTCCCCCTTTCCCTCCTTTTACTTCCTCCTGCACTTGTTCCTCAAATGCTTATGCCCCCCTCCCCAATTGATGGCAGGATGCCAGCAACTTAGCGGAGCACAGCAAAGATGGCAGAGCTGACAGCTGTGGTGAGGGGCTGGGAAGTTTTGTACAGCTTTGCTGGAGTACAAATTGCAATTGTACATGAAATGGGACCAATAAAACACTTCAAGAAAACCTCTTCATGAAGATAAATGAGGGAGGAAAGGAAACACATTAGACTTGCAAAATTATATTATGGTAGCTGTTCTAATAAAAGTAGCTTTAGGTCTATTCAGTGTCTGTTGCCCACCTTGTAGGGCTGATACTAACTTATTTGTGCAATTCACAATGCAAATTTTGACCCTAAAGATCTGCATAGCCTGTTGAGGTACTAAGTACCGATTGGAGATGGAGGCATGAAGATGTTTTTTCTCTGTCACATGTAACCCTTACCCTGAAAAATTCAATCCACCCCATTTTATTAATTTTATTTAAGAAGGTATTTGAAATTAGAAATGACCATCTTTTATTTGTTTGCCAATGTAGAAACATATTTTTATGTTGTGATTTTAATTTTGATCAGTTGCACCATGGATGTTTTATAGCAAATTACTTATTATTCTACTGAGAATCAATTCATGGCCTGAGCTAAAGTTTAATAAATAACTACGTAGGAGTCAGTGGAGAGTCAATGCGTAGATCTAATGCTGATGTTGATGATTACCTGCCAACAACTGGCATATTTTGGATTAATAGAAGCTTCTGAATGATCTTCAATGGCAGCTCCGTGTAGACTGCATTACAGTGTTTCCTGTAAATGATACTGTGGGTAGGAGTCACTGTTTAGACTAGTATGTGAGGTGTCAAAGTTGAAGAAATGTCTGTGCTTTCAGATTTTGAATTTGTTCTTTAACAACTCAGTGGAAAGATTACCCACTATGATGCCCACCCTGATATGAGGTCAAGGTTTAATTTCTTGTTTAATAGCTGAGTTCTAATTAAAAGTATAGACATACAATTTTACATGATTTGTTCATATTTATTTCAGATACCAACTGTCTGCCTATATTATTTTTGTACATTAAATTACAGTATCAATTCAACAAAGATGTACTTATTTTGTGTATGATTCTACTGGCCTTATATGATTACACAGCAATAGCTGTTATTAATCCAAAGCAGGGGCGTTTTTTGTCTTTACATAATTGGTTTATATTTCTTTCAGGAGCAAATATTCTTCGTGACTCTGCAGGCAATGTTAAGTTGGGTGATTTTGGTGCCAGCAAACGGCTTCAAACAATTTGTCTATCTGGTACCGGAATGAAGTCTGCTACAGGAACTCCATACTGGATGAGTCCAGAAGTGATTAGTGGGGAAGGATACGGAAGAAAAGCAGATATTTGGTAAGTCTTATATTACTTTTCACCTGGAATGAATTGGAAATAATTTCTTGCATACTATTTGGGGAGCCCCTAAATGTACCCACAATGCTGCATTAAGATTAGGCCTAGGACTGATAACAGTGGAGATCAGAATTTGGTTTATGAAAATTATATCAATAATCTGGTTTTATCCCTGATTTGTGCATGATAAACACTCACATTTTATACATAAAGTAGAGCAGAAAATGCCTAATATAGGTTTAAATCCTTAACTATCATTGAACAGTCTAAGGCAAAGAAAAATGTTAAACAATACCTCCAGGATATTGCAATCCAATATGATAGAGAAGTTAGAGAATGATCTTTAATTATTGACAATTTAGAAATTCTCCATAAGTTGACAAACAATCTCTGTAGGTTTATTTAAGCCAAACTGAGGAGGTCATTTACACTAGGTCATTTTATGTGATGTCCACAGCAGTTTTATAGGGTCGTCATGTGCGCATTCCTTTTTCTAAACAGCTTTGCCCTGTGTGGTTCTAGAGAGTAGAAAATGTTGGCCATGCCATTTTATAGGAATACCCGTTAGTCATACTTGTTACACTAATTTTACTATGTTATGTAGCTTAGTCTGCTTCCTTCTATAGTTTTTCATTACTGGCTAATACAAACCATGAAACAAACTTCAGGTTGCAATATCCGTATACATTATGAGAATTATAACTTGAAGAAAAGTGGCATAGTCTTTGATGCAGGATTATTACCTTAAAGAAAATAGGATGAAGTGTTTTTCAAAGAAATAGTAATGTGTTACTAAGATTTTTTTCAGAGATAAATGTTCCTATTACCTTGCTGTGAGTGTCCTTTTTACTATAAATTCTGAAGAAGATACTTTTATGGTGTGTGTTCAATAGTAAAATTATATTTCAGTCATTGGAGCTTTAGAGGAAACTCAAAGTAGAGTGGTCAGTATTTAAACTGGGTGCAGCTTTCTCTGATTTTCAAAAAACAGGATAATTGTTATAAATTGAAAATGAATACATTCATCAGGGTGAAATACAGAACAATTGTGCTAGTATAGGATTGGATCTAATTGTTTGGTGAATGGAATTTTGTCTCTAACAATGTCCCAGTGCAGTATGAAGCAGAGAAATAAAAAAAAAAATCCTGGTTATTTCTGTGTACTATTTGCATAGTCCTGCAGTTTTGGAGGATAAGAACAGCAGAGTGATGAACGCCTTGGGCATTGCAATGAAAACAATAAATTGGTTGAATCACCTCACTTTTGTTTTCCCTTCCCCCTTCTTCCAGTAGAAACATATGAACTTGGTAACATTGAAAAAACAAATCTGTCTCCACCCAAATGAAATCTTAACATAAACATGCATAGAAATATAAAAAGCTTTTCTTTTGGTGGGACCATATATTATGCTTTGCTTATCTTTCCAGATAGTCTTAATTTTAATTTGCTTTTCATTCTTGTTGCAGGAGTGTAGGCTGTACAGTTGTTGAAATGCTTACTGAGAAGCCACCTTGGGCAGAATTTGAAGCAATGGCTGCCATTTTTAAAATTGCCACACAGCCAACCAATCCCCAGCTGCCACCTCACGTCTCAGACCACGGTCGGGATTTTCTAAAGCGGATATTTACTGAGGCTAAGTTGCGACCATCTGCAGATGAACTGCTGAGACATACATTTGCACATTATCACTGATGGCCTGCCTCAATCCCTCTCACCTACTGCATTTTTTACTGCACTTTTTTTTATACAGAGTTGAAAAAAGACAAGGGAGAAATTATTTCTCTTGATTCTTTCTTTCATATAAAATTGTTAAGATCTCTCTGCATATTTAGAATGCAGATTTTTTCCCATTTAGAATCTCTTTTGTTTCAGTAATGTACTGATGTGGTTTGCATAAAGCACTTTAGTACATATTCATTCCTTATTTAAAGGGGTAAAGAATTTATTTGGACCATCAGGAATCATGTATAAGATTTTCCCCATCCCTATTTCCTGGCAAGCACTGCTAATTAACTCCCAAGGCTGGGAAGGTATACATGTCACTAGCAGATTCAGAAAAGCAGTATATATCCAGTGGTTGCAGTGTATAAATAGATAACAAAGAGCTCTCAATTATATTTGAGCTTTGAAATAAGTTTCATCTGTGATTCTGGAAATTCATTTAGAAGCTAGAATCTCAGGTTGCTGAGCAAGGTACTTTTTGGAAAATAAACCATCATATTAGCACAAAAATGTAAACCAAATAAGTGTTCTGCTTTGAAAGATAAGAAGCCTGTTGTTTAATAGTGCTAGTGCATTAATGTTGTATATCCAGAATCATAGATAAACAGTTTGCTATAGTATCAGACTTCTCTAAAGTTAAACAATGCCCACATATCATGCAACATACTGATTTTCAGGGTTGGAAACAGAGTTGATCTGTGAGGAGTCTCTAATGGGTAAAATGAAGTTTATTTCGTGCAGCATAATTCTGTTCATATTAAGAATATGTTCCATATTCTTTCTTCTGTCCCAATTATTCTTCTGATTCCCTAAAATATTTTATAAGATCCAGGTTTTTTTTTCTATTAGTTTTATCATAAAATACTTAAGGTAGAATTGGCAGGAGTGTCAAAAATATAGTTTTTCCTTCTGTTGCTGCTGAACTGAATTTTGTGTCTGAGATGCATATTTTATTTGTCAAACCTCCTTTGCATAATCTGACTAACTTGCACTGGGTTGGCTGCGTAGAATTAACTTTGCGGGTTGCAAATGCCTTACTAATTTGCATTGGAAAAGCAAGTTTGGTAGAATGAGATCTGGAAGCTCCCATGTGTATCTATACTATATAATTCAGTTACAGATGAAGAAGAAGGAATACGTAATACAGATAGAAAAAAAAAGACCTTTTTACTCCCAATTGTTTTTTTAATGTATTTATTTAGATATTTTACTTTTGATTTAAATAATAATAAAGGAATAATCAGATTTGGGATTATTGTCCCAATAGTTTCAACCCATATTTGGACATCTTAATACAATAGGACTGTAGAATGTATGTTTGCTGACTGACCCTTTAGGATATGTCTAGCACCAAACAATAAAAGTAATTGGAAAATGGGAAAGATGCTTCCATTTTTCAGAAGTAAACATTACTATTAATTGTTGTAAACATTACTATTGTTTCCTAGGTTTTCTGCAAAATGTCCAAAGCAAGTCAAATTGTACAAAGATAGATACTATAATAATGCTATTAAATCTGACCAACAATTACATATAAAACATAAGTTACATAAGTATGAATCATAAATCACATATATACAACAATATAAATGTGCATATATAATTTATGGTTCATATTTACATAATGCTCCTGGCACCTTAATCGTGACTTGGTAACCTGAGTTTACAGCCTTTATTTATTGTTAAAATAAGTTCAGATATATAAAGCCTGCACTTCTGGAAAGTGTCTCTTAGACATGCTGAACAGAAGTAGGCAGCCCTGATCCATATAGTCTTTCCCCAACTAAAATGTAATTTCAACAGCACATCACCAATAAATAGAAATGTATTTTTTCCATTTTTATAGAACTAGGGAAATCTTTTAACCTTAATATCCCAAGACCAACAACCACCAAAGAATTGTACAAATAATCCTAGCATTATACATTTTGGTGGTGTTGCTGCCCTCTTGATTGCAGCACTCAGCTGCAGCCATTAAATATGGCTGTTGTTGTTGGAAGTTGACTATATATTGTTAAAAGTAGATGGAACATTGCTTATGTCTATAGTTGTGAAATAATTTCAATTGGAGAAGCAAATGTGGCTTGAACAAAAAAATCATCTAAAAATAATACAACTTACTGAATTGTTTTCTAAGGGCCTTAATTTTTAACTTTTGAAAGTAATGGAAATGTTTCTATAAGGAGGTCAGGATTTACAACAACATGTAAAAAGGAATCATCATTGTCATGACTCCTTTCCTGTAACCCTTCAGTCTGTTATGGTTCTGTATAGAGCTGTGTTATCTTACATCTGAGTACAGGCTGTCTTTTCCTGGTCCCTGTAAGGAACTCTGTAAGATTCTGAATTTGCTAAACTTCCATCAAGCTATAGCTATGCAAAGTATGTAAAACATGAAAATGTGCATTACTTGGTCCCAAGTAGGCTAAAGGAGAGACCACAAGAGAAGTCCTTCTCCCACATTTACCAAGCTGTATATATATATTAACAGTTTTATCAAAATTCTGTGCTCTGCTCAATTAACAGGGCTTTCAAATGTTTAAAATCTAGCAGTCAGACAATCATTGCAGCCTCTGAGTGACCTCTGAACAGCACTGTTGCACCAGTTCAAAATTATTGAATGAAAATATTTACTTAGGTAGACTATTTTGAAGACAGGTTTAATGAACCTTCTTGTTTCAGAAGGTAGTATTTAAAGCAACAATCCTAAATGCATTAAGGAATGAGTTACACTGAATACAGTGATACTTTTTCTTTTTAGCAAATATGCATAGGATTAAGATGTTGGATTTTTTTTCTCTAAATATGAAGCAGAGCCTTAAATTATTTTTTGCAGGGAGACAGGAATCAAACTCCATCCAGACATTTCTAGTTTAACTGGCAACACTAATCAGCTATATTTTTAAACAGAAATTTACAAAGTCCTGTTTTAGCTATAAAATAAGAACGTGATACTGTTGGAATAGAATTACTGGCTGCCCCTCCTTGCTTTTTTACTATGTAAAAAACAGTCTGTTTATGGTGCTTTTCTGTTATAATTCGATCTCACTTGGATCGGCTTTATCCCATCATGCCTTTGTGGAGTTTAGAAGCTTAGGACAGTGAGTTGTTAAAATTATACTAGGGCAGTGATGGCGATGGGCTCAGCATGCCAAAAATTCAGAAAATGCCAACATTGACTTTGCAGGCATCTCACACTTCCTCCCTCCCACAAAGAAAGGCCTGTCTGGACTCCCCTCTGGATTCTTCTCATCCTGTGGAAGACACATGAGAGAGCCCTGCTCTTGGAGGGCCTTTGAAGCCTCAGAAAAATCACCCTTTGTGTGATTTTCTGAGGCTCCAGAGGCCCTCCAAGAGCACAGCCTTCTTATGCAACTCCTAGAGTGTCTGGAGGCCTGATGTATCATGAAAAATGACAGCATATTATAAGTTAGCTTTCATTGTACTAAGGTCTTTGAGGAGTCTGGTGCAGCACTAATCTGATAATCAGCAGGTCTCATGTTCACATGATGTATGATACTGTGGTAACAACTGGTACAGAGGGTAAATGTGATCATGTAGAAAGTGTTGACTTTCTTCATGCCCCTGATTTGGGTTGTGAAATACGTTTTTTTATACAAAATAATAAGTGCTGACATCAATTGAACTTTGAGGAAGGCTTGTTTCTTTTAACAGTTTATTAAACAAATGCATAAGAATAGCTCATGAATTTGTGAATCCCTAAAAGAGGGAAGTATTGTGAAATTTGCAAAATTATGAAGCTCTAAAATGAAAAGATAGTCTTTAAAATGGCTATAATTCTATGTAGGAGACAGGTACGAAAGCACTCAGTGTTATGTGAATGAGTAGAAAAAGCTATTAGGTGGCTTAAATTCATGCAGAACAAAAAACAGTGGGGCAATACTTTTTGCTAATAAATTAGCGGGAAAAAACAAATTTCGAATTTAATATATTCTGAACAGGAATAATTGTGTGATTTGTTTGAATATGGAGTGTAGGAATCGTATTAGGTAAAATGGTGATACAGTAGCTCTTTGCCTTTCTAAAGTTATGTGCAATTTAAAATATATTATCAAAATACCTGAGTTATAAGATTTATTTTGCTGTGTATATTTTACATATAATTTCTATACAATTTACAATGATCATAAATCTATATTTGAAGCAGCATGGGATATTTCAATCCATGCTATTTTTATTCTAGGAAACTAACTAGGGACCCATAATATGCAGATGACATTTCCATTTTATTTTGTGCTTTGTTTAAATATTTGTATAACTTTAGTCTGAGTACTTCTATTATCAAAAGGTAATAATGTGATCTTCAAAGAGTGCAGGTTAAGAATTAGAATATCTTGTAATGTCCAAAGAAATATCTTGAAAGTAGGCAGAGTCCAAAATTGTAGATAACTTGCCCAGATTGCAGGGCACTTTGTGCTCTTCATATCCATAGTATGGCTGAGAGAGAAAAAGAGAAAAAAACAGCAGCATAAGACTGATAGCTGTTTGTGCCTTCTTTCAATATTATGTTTTGTCTTGATAATGACAATATAAAAGTGCTTTTAAAAAAAGATGGATATAAAGTGGATCCCCAAACACAGCTGTAATGGAGGGAGGTAGCTCAGTTGTTAATGGTTTACCCCAAAGCTACAAGTTGAATGGGTCAGTTCCCAGCAATTTGGCATGTAATAATAGAAGTACAAGTCCAGGTTTGGTATGAATTTGTAATTAAAGTTTACAAAACAAAACAAAAAGCATAGTGATTGACAGCAAGCTTGCTATTACAATTCAAGCCAAATTTTGATCATCTTCATTAAATTTACCTTGGACTTCATCAAATGAGGCTGGGGACAACTTATGTTTATAGGCAAAAGTTTCTTAACTAGGAACTTTTAATAATTATATCAATTTAGCTAGAAAGAAAACACTAATATAAAAATACTTAGGTTTCTAAATATCTAAGGTGATATTTAGAATCCTTCAAAACTTGCCAATACAAATTGTGTCTATAGACAGTGATTTGTAACCTATTATTTTTTAGTCTTAAAATTTCAAAAGTATAGACATATACAAGACCATCAAACAAAAGCTTGCAAATGACTGCTTTCTCATGAATACTATTTAACAATATTTCAAAGTCTATATATTCTTTATATAATTACAATGATTATGAGAAAATGGTATGGGAATATGTCACATTCAAATAATTATTCTAAAATGAAACTAGAAACACTAAAGGGAAAATTGATATCCCTCAGAGCTGAGTAGACATAAGCTACGTATAGCACATAACCACATATTTATTTGTTTTAAAAATGAAGAGAAATGTGTAGCTGGCTTTTCTACTACATAAAAAAATAATTCAGTATATAGTATTTTTCAGCCCATTTGTGCAAGATTTAATGGGGGTCCAACTGCATTATAAATCATTGCTGAAACAGATGGTTCAAACCCAGCCATGAAGCATAACTAAGGTTCAGAAAGAAAAATGCAGGATCATACATAGATGTTATGTTTCTGGGTACAATCCTGAATAGTTGTACCAATCATAAATCCAAATATTCATTTCTTTATTTCCATGTATGATATGGGGCACCCATCAAAGGTAGATCTTGGAGCCCTAGCTTTCGAGCAGCCATAGATACATGGAGCATGCAACAAGCGTTTTTCTAAACCACAAATTAAATTAAGCATCTTGAAGCTTGATATTTTTCATGAATTTGCAAGTGACAAGGAGGCTTGGCATGAAGTCTGGCCGGTACTTTCAGATATATAGGATTTAGAGTAAGAAAATAGATGTTTTGATGAATTAGAAAGTCTAAATTAAAAAAAAGTATCATGATAGTCTCCCTGATGAAATTTTAACTTTTAGAATAAGCTTTACTACTTAATTTTTAAGAAGTATGGGTTACACACAGTGGATTAAAATGTTCTTGTTATACTAACAAAGCATTCAAAGACATCTGAGTGCCTTTATCTTTATGCCTTAAGTTTATTTTCTTAGCATATTGATTACAGAAAAGGTTCAAATCACATAGGACCACTTACTAAGTAGCATAATAATTTTTCCCTTTCCTTTTTAAATTAACAAGGGAGTATTTACAACAACAATTTTTATCATATGTATATGTGTGTGTATACACACACACATACATATACATACACATACACACACACACACACACACACACACTTGCAAGCCTTGCTTTTAAAAATACTGATAGTATGTTAACCCTTTAACCAACCAAACATGTCATTAGTTTTAAACTAAGCTGTTAAAAATATTCCAAGTTCACTAATTTTCAAACGGAGAAATTAATAGCACTTAAACTTAGATATGATAATCTTTATTTTTAACCCTAGAACTGTAACACAGAAATTCTATGTACATGCAAATTATTTAATTCTAGAAAATCATTAGCTCAAGTGAACTGAGAATGATTTTAGTGGTACTTTCTTTTAAGGAAGTATTTGCTTAAAGCAAGTGACAGTATTGGTTTTGAATAGGAAAATCAGATTTGATTTCAAGTAAGATATTTGTATTGTATT